CGATGTAGTCATGTAGATAATATTATTATTATAGTAGAAAAATATTATCTACATCGTGCAGGAGCCTTAAGAAAATAACACATTATGAAAAAAAAGTATAATGTATAGATTTAGTTTTTACATAATGAAATAAAGATAGATTAATCTAATTTAGATAGTATATTAGTATAGGAAATTGGTAGATTTGAAAAAATCTAAAAAAATATGAAGTTGGAAATAAAATGTTATTATAATTTATTGAATTTAAAATATAAATTATCATTTATTTATAAGAACCATTATTATACTTAAGACATATTACACCAATATATAGATACAAACTTTAGTTTATATAGGTACAATAATATCCTAAAAGGTTTATCGACTTCAAAATATTCACACCTCATTATATCAGATTATTTCTATAACGGATTAAATCTAAGTACAATATGAATCTAAAAAAGAAAAATTATTTTAGAAGTCAAATCAGATGAAATTATAACAATATTATAATTAAAAACGGAGTGTGAAAAAAAAATTCGACGTCGTCGGTGGCGGTGGCTATCGGTCTGTTTGTTTTTATCTTTTCAGTAGTTTTCACTCATTTGCGTGTCACAATGACGTGTTGTATGTCATTAAATAATATTTCAATGCTTAGGAGCATTCGTTTTCAATTAATAATTAATGTAGATATTACCATACAAAAATAAGATGACTGGGTATTATTATTTATATTATAAATTCATAACATTTCACAATAATATTACATTACGTGTTGTAGTGACGTTGAGCGGCAGAACACGGCAACGGCAGAACCGCGTCTTTCATCGATTGTGTATCGATGGCGCCCTCTAGTAGTGTTGTCAGACAAATAGACAATATCTGTACAAATCACGTATTTCGTTGTCTAATTCTACAAAAATTTGTTTTTTCGTTTGTTTAATATTTGTAGAACACGTACGAGTTTGCTCATAACCGTTTGAATACAATACGTTCAGTATCGTCGTGATGGAATTACAACAAACGACGTTTCTACATACGAAAATTCGACGAAGGCGGCCGATGATGCCGCCACCGTCGCGGTCGAAGTTAATGTTACCTACGACGTGTAATAATGAAGAAGTGCGGCAAAATTCGGCGGCACCATGTATTTCGTCGACGACGGCGTTCGTGTACCAATAGCGCCCTCTCGTTGTCATATTATTGGCCCATGAATGTACATAATTCCCAATAGTAATATTAAATTATATAAAACATAATACCGTCAATTGGACATTTCCCAACAAAATCCACAGAAAATTCGAAGTCATAATAACCAGACTTAAAATTGGACACACGAAAATCTCCTACAGCTTCCTAATGGCCAAGGAAGAACCCCCAATGTGCACATCCTGCGGTGTCCAAGTCACCATCAGTCACATTCTCACTGAATGTGCCGATTAGGCATCATACCACAATACCCGAAAAAGCCACAACCTGCCCGAATCACTGTCCGAAATACTAAGCAATCACCCTCAATCCATAGTCAACATCATCCAATTCATCACAGCCGCCAATCTTCAAACCAAAATTTAGTGTAATTTAGATTTAGTATACAATTTCCTCCCAGTAAGCCCAATGGCCAATGTAGCCGGGGATATAAATATATATATAAAAAAAAAAAATTCCCAATAGTATTTTATATCGTATAATGTGTGAAATAACAACAATAGCAATATAATAATATTGTTGTTCTTTTTAAAATAATGTTTACAAATTAAACTCAAAATTAATTAATATTTTACATTTATAATTTATAAGTAGTTAACTGATTCAATGTTATGTAGGCAAGTAGCTCACGGCACGTGATTATTCCATACGCGTATTTTACATTTTCAGTCATTTTTTTTGCACTTACCATGCATATAAATTCCACTGATTTCAACTATTTGCCATTTTAAACCTTTTCATGCAAATACCACCGGTACTTTTTTACGTAAAAACCTAAATTCAGGTGAATATAAATTCTCCCGAGTCTACCCCAGTACTACCTTACGAGTGATGGGTAAGCAGTGGCGTAGCCAGGATTATGAAATGGCCAATGTGGGGTGTTTAAGTATAGATTAAAACCAAGTTTTTATAGTTTTCGTATATAAAAAAATTTAGTGTTCGGGACATGACTTTTCGCACTAAAAGTTATCGAAATATGCAGTCAAAAATCAAAATTATCAAAATATCCTTAAATATGATATGCAGCTACATTTTAGATTCTGAGTGAAACGATGAATGTATTGATTTTACAATGATGTGTGTTTTTTTTTTTTTTATTTTTTTTGTATCTGTGTACACGATAAGTAGTCGAAATAATGCTTCGATTTTCGACTTCAGTATCTTGTTCGATTGGAAAGTGAATATCGTTGGTGCATTGGGGAGGTCAAAATTTAAAATTCCCAGTACTTTTCAAAAGCGCCAAGAAAAACAAAAGAAAAATTAAGGAAAAACGGGAATTTTTACGCAAAATCGATTTTTCAGAAAATTGAATTTGGTTTTTGGTGTAACTTTAAAACAAATGACCGTAGGTACATGCAATTTTCACTGAATGTTTATATTAGCATTTCCTATACACCATACGATTTTGAAAATATTTTGACTCTTTTTGAGCTGTTTACGGACATTTTCATTTTTCAATTTTTTTAGTTTTTTTTCTAGAAATATCAATAAAATTTTATTTGTTGGTTGCGAAAGCTTGAAAATTTAATAGAAGGCTCCTAATATATTGTTTCAAAGGCTGATGAAAAATATTAAAAATCCTTAGTCACAATTTTTTTTTATAAGCATTTAAAGTTCAAAAATTGACAAAATATGGAAAAATCGCGAAAATTAGCAAATTATTTTGAGTTGAGAATTCGTAAAAATTTTTCCTTTTAAATCTAAGATTTGAAAATGTAATACAAGATTACTCATAAGTTTGTCTACCTATATCAATAAAAAATCTCTACCGGACAGTTAAATTAAATTTTTATGAGCATTTGAAATTCAAATTTTTACAACATTGGTTATTCACTCGATTTCTCATGTAGCGATTTCCTTATTTTGTTGTAATTCAAAAACGAATAACTGTAGATACATGAAAATTTCACTGAATGTTTATATTAGCATTTCCTATACACCATACGATTTTGAAAATATTTTGACTCTTTTTGAGCTGTTTACGGACATTTTCATTTTTCAATTTTTTTAGTTTTTTTTCTATGAATATCAATAAAGTTTTATCTGTTGGGCCAAAAAGTGTAAAAATTTAATACAAGGCTCCTGACATATTGTTACAATATCAGTTGAAAAATATTAAAAATACATAGGCACAATTTTTTTTTATAAGCATTTAAACATCGAATTTTGACAGAATATTTCAAAATCTCGAAAATTATTAATCATCGTAATTAATAAATTATAAAATGTTCAGTTTTTATAGCTAAGGATTGAATATTTAAAACAAGATTCCACGTAAGTAGTTAATTCTCTTACCGAAAAATCTAAAAAATATACAATCACAGTTTATTTTTATAGTCATTTTATGTTCAAATTTGGACGAAATTACATATTAAAAAACCTAGTTATTTTGTTGTGATTATATAATATTATTCGTGGGTAGTGGGTACCTACTTGAAACTTCTAAAGTGTACTATTATATATCTATGATAGTATCAGGGTTTGTTATTGATGTTGATGTATAACGTGTTATAAGTACCTAATGGATATTGTGATAATGTGATATGATTAATTTGGAATTTATTATAGGTCAATTTTTTTTTTAATACCATAGATATGTATATAATTTGTCTTAAACCTAGACTGACATACCGTCTTCGCTCAGAATCGTTTTTCTTATACAATGATATTGTATCATTGAATTCAAATTTAAAAGCATCCATTATACAGTGACCCACTTGTAACCTACTGTACAGCAGAGCGACATAAACTTACCCACCTTTTATATTATATATTTGAAAAATGCATTAAACATATTACATAACATAAAATATCCACACTGACAAACCGTCTCCGCTCAGCATCGTTTTTCGTATACCTACTATGATATTATATCATTGAATTCAAATTTAATACCATCCAATATCCATTATACAGTGACCCACTATTGTAACCTACTGTACAGCAGAGCGACATCCTCTTACCCACCTGTTTTTTAATTTCAATTTGCAAGTTGTATTAAAAAATTATCACTACATATTATCGAACTTATAATAATTAATTACATTTAATTATTTTTAGGTTGTCAATAACTTTATTGGGTATAATAAAATTGATAAAGGTAAATTTTTAAATTTGTTGTGAATAAAGCTGGTCATAAACAACAACCATTTTATTCTGTTAAACAATACTACCAATAGAAGGTACATATTATACTTATAATTTAATTTATAATTTATTAAATATATCTGGGCTAAACAAAAAAAAAATAAATTACAATTTCAAATCGACAACATTGTATTTCATAAATAATAAATAAACTTTCTTTAATATTTCAGTAAACTTATATAAAAACTACTTACACTATCAATTAAATTTTTTTATTAAATTTGAGTACAATACTATATTATAATGTTTAATTTCATGATCATTAAACATGAATTTCTTAAATATGTTTCCAACAATAATACCATTATGTTTTAGTAGAGAAGTTTAAACATTTATTTTTATTTTATGTAAATAATATACAATTCTATGTTTGTTCAATGTTATTTAAATATATTCTTGAATCATAAAAAATGTCTGTCCTAAGTATTTGTTTAATGATTTATAACTCTTTTTACATTAATTTATTTTTATTACTTTTTTAGCTTAATATTTTGTTAATTAATTATTAAAATTACATGACCAAATTTAAATTACCTAGATATTGATATTCATTATAAAAAAACCTTTTAATATATTTTCTTATTTTTTAAATGAGAAACAAATAATATTTTTTTTTTAAAAACCAATATTATAAATCATACCTAACTATAAAGTTTATGAATAATTTAACAATATTGACAATTTTTGCAATATTTAGAGCAACAGTGTTTGGTGTTTTTATCCTTGATGTTGCAATAATTAGAATTACAATATGCACAAATCTTGCCTTGATGACAACATTGATGGTTTAATTTTACTACTTTATATGTTGAATGTTTGGATGTTTCAGTTTGTGAATTAGTTGTTTTGTTGTTGATTTTTGTAATGTTTTTAAATTTTTGTTTTATCGCTTCCAGGAACTTATCTAAATATAAATGTATGATGTAGAAAAACAATGATTTATTTTAAACAGTGGCGTATAATCAAATTTTTTTTTTTGAGGGGATTCTTAAAAATAAGTAAGTGTATAATATTATAAAAATACATAATATGAGTTTTGAATTAATAATTAAATTATTCTATTCTGGGGGAGGGGGGGTCGAGCTCCTTCCCCGAAAATACGCCACCGACGGAGTTGCTTTCCGATATAATAACAACAATACTATTTAATCTTGTGGACTATTTTTTTGAATTACGTACAATGTACTAACCATAAGCTTGACAGATTAATATCTGTTTTCGATAAAAATCGTGAGTCAAAATGGTGCGAAAACAAATCTATAAATCTTAAATAATAATTGCCAATACGAGTACTCGTTTTTTGTGGCAATAACAATATTTAGATCGGCTCCTTTCAAACTTGATATCCACCTCCTAGACTCTACCGTGTACACTTTTATCCGTATAGATTTTATATAAATATAAGATTAGATCTATAGCAAAATTAGAATTCGTACCATGTACATACTGTACGTACTAGTGTAATAACAAACTTCTAGGGCAGACGCTTTTCGCTCTGTCCTCAAATTTATATACTTAAATTTAAAACATATTTCTATTGTACTTAAATAAAGTACTTATATATTACTTGTGTGACCTGTCACTCTGCAACCTTTCTCCTATTCAACCATCAACGTCTACGAACTCAAAATTATAAACGGTTAGTGAGGGATCACTACACGTTTTTAGTGTCATTTTTTGGCAATTATTATTTAAGATTTATAGATTTGTTTTCGCACTATTTTGGAGCACGATTTTTATCGAAAACATATATTAATTTGTCAAACTCATGGTTCGTACATTGTACGTAATTCTAAGAAACAGTTCTCAAGACTTATAGTATTGTTGTAGTTATATCGTAAGTTTATAATTATAATATTTAAAATATCGGAGAGCGACTTCGTCGGTTTACTACACTATGTATTTTATTAAAGAAAATTTAAACATATTTACTTATATTGTCTGTTTGAGTAACATTGTACTTGATTGTAGTACCTTCATGTTTTACTCCGTTTTCATGGTGTTTTGATGAATTGGTACTAGAAAACTTCGTTGAATTCCTAAAAAAAAGCAATGTTTAAATAATCAATGAGTACTTCGTATTTTATTTTGTGCCCGCTTTTTTTTGCGATTTATCACTCTGTTCTTAACTTCTACATTGTTAAAAATATAACCTACTGTATATTTCTGTTTTTTTATTTTCTATCACTTTGAGAGGACTTCATAGTTCATACCTGCATATATATTGTCACCGTTTTAGTGTCTTACTAACGCATAATATACCAAAATGTAAGTCCAGCAATAATTCCAATTTTGTATTGTTGGCTTAAATAGCATAGTGAATTGACCTATCATCAAACTTAAATGTAAGAACATATTATTTGTGTTCTCTCATTGGTTTGATACAATATTTTATTTTTAAGTGAGTTATGACTTATTAGTATGTAAAATATAACAAGAGAACACAGATAATGTTTTTACATTTAAGTTTGATAATAGCTAGGTCAATTTACTCTAATATATAAGCTAACAATACAAAATTGGAACTGCTTGATGTACATTTTGATATATTATGCGTTAGTAAGACGGAGACCACATATGCGGGTACATTATTGTTCTCTTAAATAAAGTTTTTTTGATAAAATCTTTAAAGATTTCTGTAAGTGTATTTATAAATATTTTGAATATTTAATTTTTCATTTTTTCAATGCCATGTTCATTAATATGTAATTACTAATTACCCATTTTTTTTTTAAAGTGATTCGACTTATAAATAATGATTATTATTTATGAGTGTGTTTGATTTATAAAGTTGATTCCTATATCGATGTAGAAAATCATACTTTGATAGAAAAACTTATAATTATTTTTCTAGATCTTACTTGATAGACGAAGTTGATGATCTTAAATTTGATAAATGATCATAGGTTAATATTCGTAACATTGAGTTATATAAAGGAGGCAGTGTTAACATTATTACAAAAAAAAGTTTGTTTTTCATATTTGTATTTCAATAACCATTTATATAAAAGTTTATTATCAACCAAATAATAAATATTAGTTTAAATAACTTAGTTACGTGTGTAAATAAATTACTTAGAGCCACGATACAATTCAACTAGGCAATTGTCAATTGATATACCAGCTACTCCATTTTGTCTCTTCTTACTACGCTGTTGTCATATGTCAATAGACAATAATTGATGTTAAATAATTTGTACATATTATAAATCACAATGATTGATATAATATTATAAAATATTTTGATAAACAATTGTGTTCATTAAAAACTTTTTGGAATAAAGTAGGTATGGATTGTTGGCAGGTGTTATAATTTATATTTTTAGTTATTTTAATCAAAATTAATAGAATTATTATGTTGCCATACAGATTTTTATCAAAATAACTAAAAATATAAATTATAACACCGGCCAAAAATCCATACTTAATTCAAAAAAAAAAATTAATTATCTTCCAATCATTAAATATTAATTTAAATAACTAAGTTACATTTATTAAAAATTACATAAAGGGACACAAAATTAGATTTTATTTTGACTCATGATATGAACTTATGCTGTTTTAATATTAATAACAATTGAAATAAATCGTGTGGTGCAACATGTTGTATTAAATAAGTGTATTATTTTAAGAAATATTTTCTATTTTTTTTAATACAATAAAAATTTAATGTATACAATATTAATAATTTTTTTGCGTTGCATTACAGTTATTTACATAGTTTGGAGGATTTTAATTGAAACCTCAGATGTACAATGTTCAGTCATTCAAAGGGAATACAATTACTGTGTAGTAGATTTAGGCAAAGTATTATAAGAAATGTCGATAAAGCATTACCTAGTACATCATCTTCAGTTGATAGAAATAAGTCTGCAAAGAATGAAGATAAATAAAATAAAGATTCTTCAGTAACTATAATTTATGCGATATTTATATACATAATAGGTACATATTATATTAAAATTATTGCCGATAAAAACTTTTTCACATAGTAAAAAATTTGAAAATGGAATTCAAGAGTCCTCCTCAGAAGTTGCTTTTTCAGTATAGTTTTTAATTATTAATTTTGATTATTTATATTCATGTATGCTTGAATAACACACCGTCTAAGCTAAGAATCGTATTTCATAATCAACAACTAGTGTTGAGCAGAAATCTCGAATTTTTCGTAATCTCGAACTCAATTGAAATCCTTTTGATGTAATTGCCATTATAATAAAACTCAATATACTTCAAATTTTTTTTTTGTTCCCTTGAGTTTACACATAACGAGAGCTTACTGTATTTATATCTTAAAGGTACACACATATTTACTCGATTAGCAAGCATTTATACTAATAGAATTGCCTATCTAAAAACCCCTTAATCTATAATGAAATAAAATATTATAATACATATTTTATTTATTGGAAAATTCGTCGATATTGGTAGTTAATATAATGTTGTTTATGATGGTGAAATTGGAAATTGTAATTTTTTTAATATTTAAGATCTTAAAAAATATTTTTTTAAACTTTTAATGAGGTACCTTCGTACCTACTGCAGGTAAAATAATTTATTTGCTAAACATTTATAATGGGCGCCATCCGATTGCGTCCCGTTTCAACCTTTTATACCTTTTCAGTATGTCGATTGCGTCCACAAGTCGGATAGGTAAATTATTTTTTCTTACCTTTTTATGTTCCGATTGTGTCCTATTGTATAGTATACAAGCATTAAATTACTCAATATTTTAAAATGATTTTAGTAATGACTATTAAATACATTCGTAGTTTCAAGATTGATATATTGGAAAACGAATAGTCATAACTAGTAATTATTTTTTAATTATTAAATTATTTAAATAATACATTTCTAGTCCACCAATAAAATTAAGTCCAAATATGTTTATAAGAATAAATAATTAAATAATACATTTCTAATCAGTGTTATAAAATAATAATAATACAAAAACCAATAAAATTAAATCCAAATATGTTTATAGGAATAAATAATTAAATTATACATTTCTAATCAGTGTTATAAAATAATAATAATACAAAAACCAATAAAATTAAGTCCAAATATGTAGGAATAAATAATAATAATAAACAAAATAACATTATTTTGCATTTTTTATTTGTGCAACTCCAACGCTCGACATCATTGGCCAACCTTTTTTGAAAACGATACTTAAACTTATCAATAACTTTGATTTCTTTATTTTTTTCACTTATACTTTCAGTAATATTTTGAGTCTTCATTTTGAATTTTCAATATAAACAATAAACTTTAAAGTAGGTATCTCTCAACTCTAAGGCACTTGTACTAAATCGCTACGTGATCGTAAATCGATAAGAGTATACCAGCCTTAAGATAAAATGTTCGTAAAATCATCAAGTAAAAACAAATTCGTGTTTAAATATAAGATTTAATTTGTCAATTTATGTGTCACATACCTACTATACCTGATTACCTAATATACAATAGGACGCAATCGGAACACGGAAAAGGTGGGCAAAAAATCGTTTACCTGCGCCTGGGACGCAATCGACAAACTCCGTTTATAATGGCAAAACTTCTATTTCTAAACATTGTGTATTAGATTTTAAAGCAATATAAGTTATAACCTTTAACATTGTTAACATTGTTTACCTAACCTAACAGCTTTACGTCAAGAACTGTATAAACTACGTCTGTAAAAAAGATATTTTTGGTGTAATATAGGTACTTATACGTTGTTAAAATATATTGTATATAGTTGGTATAAATGTATAATATACATTAAACAAAGTTTATTTTTCATGTACGATAGGTAGAAGTAGAACTATATTCGAAGGTACACTTTACGTGGTGACTCAGAGGCATAGCCAGAGGGTGATAGGGAGCTATAGTACCCCCTATACAAAATGTCTGGCTACTAGGTGGTGTATCTTGTATTTAAGTCTTGTATTCACGTCGACAGTACTTTTATGATTGGTTGTATTTACTTGTTATAGAGGTAAAAAGTAACGTACACTTTACGTTTACGGAACGTTGAGTTGTATTTTAAAATACACCATATTTTTCAAATTATACGATATTATAATTATCATCGAGATCATTGTACAAATATTTTGAAGTATGACAACAAGAGGGCGCTACCAGTATACGACAGCTGTCGTCCACTAAAGACACGGTGCCGCCGTATTTCTCCACGTCGTCATTACACGGAGCGACATAGCCATCGAAATTACGTATGACGAAACGTCGTTTGCAGTAATTCGATTGTACTGATACTGTTCGTGTTGTATTCAATTGGTTATTTGCAAACTCGTACAGTCATACATATTTTACAACTATTAAACATTAGAAAAAACAAAGTTGTGAAGAAATTGACAACGGAATACGTGTGTTTGAAAAAGAAAATTTCGCGTACGCGTTCGTTTTTTATTGACGGTAGATAGCGCATTTGAGCTGTACCATTTGTCTGATGGTATATTCAACAATTAATCTATGAAATCACCTATTTAATTGTAATTATCATGAATTGGTGAGGTGTGATACACTAAATTAATGACGTATACGCCCGTACTCCAAAATGCGATTTTTCGAAAATCGAAAATTTTCGATTTTTCGAACACGCTCAAATTTCAAACTGCAATCGTCTTAGAATTGCATTTATCTTTAAAAGACCTTAGTGATGTTGAGAGTGTATCGCTTCTCGGCCTATCGGCTAAGATCAAAGTGTAGTATCTGTTCTTATCAGCTTAACATCTGATACACCGTTCATTGAATGGTTCAAATGTTAAACTAATTTTTTCAAACTTGGTGGAGATTTTGGGGCTTGCTCCTGCTCCACCGCGGGTTGACCCGGTATTGCAGTACCACCGGGAACGGCCCACATAATAAACATGATCGTAGTTCTCTGTAAATATTTGGAAATTCAAAAACCAATTCTGAATTTGCAAAATTTCGAATTTTAGAAACCGCAATTTTGAAAACTTGAAATTTTGGTTTTTTTGAATTTTTTTTGAATTTTGGTTATTGGAGGTTCAATATTCATATTCAATCAATGGATTTTGGATTCTCGAAATGCCTATCTGTGGTTGACGGTTGGTTCAGTCCAATAATTTTGCCATTGAATAATCTGTTAAAAAATATTTCGAAGTGCATTCATAACATATTTTAGAGTTTAAAAGTAATTTAAGTTTATTCAGTCACCATAGATAAGTATATAGTCAGTCACTATTATTTATATTGGTGATCAGTGGGCAGTAAACACAAGTTCTTAATTCCACCCCGGAGGGCGTTTTCGTGAAACGTTTATTGTTGGCAAAAAGTAACATAACAATTAATAAAAAAATTATTCACGAATTGTGAATCACCTTTATCTTGCATTGCTGACGAGTGTGTAGTGTGTACACCAAGGAACACAATATAATTATAATACGTACATAATATGTATATATATATTATTGTTATTATATACGCTTTACTGATAAGTGATAAAAAATATTTTTTCTACATAACATATGTAAACCAGTGAACGGAACACGGATTTGTGTCAATATTTTCTTATGACTTGGATACCGGCTTAATGTTTACCTTTGCCCCCCTCCTAATTTGTTTTATGAATATTTATGCCAGCCACCAGAATATCGGTTAGATTTTTGTCATATAATGGAATTACGGGTGATCAGTAATCTAGTTCTACAAAACTAGAGATAAAAAAAATAGTTTGGCTACGGCACTGCTATATATATTATAAATGTGCCTAGTAGCATTTTTTAAACTTTTTATTTTTTAATTATAAGAACAATTTTTCAGAAAATAAACGAAAAATTTAATAAATACTGACCATTTTCATTTTTAAATAATGCTATTACAGAATTACCTGCAGGGACTGGAATCCTATGACTTATAGTACTATACTCATAGACTTATATAATACTTATTTTAAAATTTTCTTTGGTGTGGACGGGGCTTTATGGAAATCTGGCAACATTGCACTAAAATCTT